ACACACACACACACACACACAAAACAGAACTAAAGTGGGAAAAAATGTAGTTTCTGAAAATAACACGATTGATACGCGTTTACCATGTAGGCCAAGACATGTAGGAACAAAAAGAAGAAGAACATTTGTGAGACAGCGTGCTGGAATCGGGCTCTCGTCAATTTTGGGGCATTTAGAGTTATTGGTGTTATCTTAAAGCTTGTTCACTTGTCTTTATTTTGGAAGAATCAATTATCCATATATCTTGAATACAAGTCGATATATTTGCCTAAGAAGGAGGTGGGGGTCACCTGTTTTCAGAGATAAAATTTGTGAGAAAATGGCCGCCAAAGATTAGTCATTTCCTTAGCTTAAGAATCCGTGGTAATTGAAAATTTACATTTTTTGTGCCTTTAATCAACGTTTTTCAGACAAATCCACATAGAAATTAGTTCTTTAAGGGGCATGAAAGGTGTTGAGCCAAAAAATAAAAAATTTATAAAAATTAACAAACACGCGGAAAAATGAAAGTTTCGTCACTTTGATTATTTTGACGAAAGCCTGATTCCACCACACTGCCTCACATTTAGATTCTAAAACATATTAGACGTACCTTTTTCCGCCTCAGATATTCGAGTTTTCATTCATGTGCTATGTTTTAAATTCTGATCCACTGTTCAGAAAAAAATGAAATAAATAAAATGAAATAAAGTTTTAAAAAAGACGGAATGCCTTACAAGAGCGTAGTAAAACAGCATCAACGAGAATCACTTCGAACCGTCTAATCTGATGCTTTATTTTAAATCCAGGAAACTTCATATATAATAATATGATGATGATAAAACCACAAATCAAATATCTGCACAGTAAGTAGCCAACGCTTATGGATAAGCTATTATCACATTATCTCGGTATCAGCCTAAATGTACCATTTCTAAAGGAAACTGCTTCAGATATTTCTCAATCACCGAAATTCCCCACAAATTTCTGGGTTTAAAAAAAAGCCTAAACTGAATAAGAAAAGTAAGAAATTAGTGGAAAGAAACCGTGGCCCATCGGCGGATTGTGTCATTACGAGACTCCGCCAACAACTCCCAACTCCTCAACCTTCCACCCCCCTCCCTTACCCCCGCCCCTTCCAAAAAAAGTACTAATAAAAATGATGCATTTTTTCCCTTGCCCATTTCTATGAGATTGACGCCATCGGATTAGTAGAAAAAGGTGTATATGATTGTGTCCAATAGTGTATTACATGCATACTTAGTATATCAATTAACTGTAATAGCAGATAGAGATTCCAAGATTATAGATGTAAGTCATTGATCTGAGAGCGGTGATGATTTTTAGAAATAATAGTGGGGATGAGTGAAATAAAAATGATAAATAAACCACTCATAAATTTGGCGACATCAGCAGCTCTTTAGAAAACTTTTACAAAACTTTCTTTTGAATCTCAAATGCATATTTTATTATACAGGGATGATGCATATTGTAGTCCATTGTATATAATAACTATAATCTTTGCCCGGAGTCCCTGAAAACCACGTCAATTCTTTTTTTTAAAGTTTATTCATTATGCGATCAAAAATTCGTCGCGCAGCTTATCCTCAAATATCTCTTTAACGGGTGAATCAATGTCATTCATACTTTGCACAGCAGTTTGTTTCAATTTGTCTTTACTAAATCATATTTTTCCAAAACATTTGGGGCTAGATTTTTAAAAACCTTTCTTTATAGATTTATATAAAAGTATACTTGAAATCTCTGTCGCACGTAAAATGGTATTGTTCACGGCACTTTCCGCTTCTCACACACATTTTGATTATGCATATGGCCTACGTCACAGCTCATCAATGACCCATTTTACTTTCAAAATTTGTTACAAGAAATTATTTTTATAGTGAACACAGTTTTGCACTACTGCTTCTCAAAACATGTGTTCAATAAGCAGAATATCCCGATTAGAAAGATATAGCGGCCTTGCTATTAAAAGCAATATTGCCCCAGCTGTAAACATTAAAAAATCTGTAGAAACCAGGCACTCGGATTTTTTATTAGTATTTAATAAATAATTTTCTAGAATATAGCCAGCAGGCGTTGACAAAAATGCTGATCTGTTAAGACAAACTGATACAAGTCATTGCGCAAAAATTGAAGAACGTGTGTTCAATAGTTGAGAAATTTGACAGTAAGTCGCGCCACAAATTTTTGACCGCACTAGGTACAAACAAAAGAAGAAAATTAATAGACACAGTTTCCCCTCTAAATGTCCTGCTTTATCTCCATCCGTGTTGTGAGCTCAAGTT